CGCGAATTTTTGTTGTTGCTTATCGCTTCAAAGAAGAATTTATCTTGAGATCAATTGCTTGCTCTAATTTCTGTGCGCCGAGAAACTATTTTGCATATATGTATTAGGCAAAGCGAAATTGATAATATGTATATACATACATACATATGTATATGCGCAATGGTGCTGGACACAAGAACTGTAAATCTCGTTTTGTTTTGGTTCCATTGAACACACTCGTCATTAAAAATCGGCTTTTAGTTATGAAAATAAGAAACCATTAAGAGCTGCTGTTTTTGTGCGGTTGATGATTGGCGATAAAACTCTACGTTTACTTTACTATGTGGCGATGCCTGCTATCATGAAAGCAAAGCTTTCTTTCAATATCGTTGCGTTTTTGTTTCATCAAAATCCTAAGGCAACTATTAAATACGATTAATAATAGAATCTACTAATAGAATAAAAAAATGGGTCGTTCATATTGACTACTGTGGTCACACTAACAGAGTGCCAAATTGTGAGTGCCTTAAGTGGTCGGAAAAGCCGGCGCACAGAAAATAAGCAAGCGATCAAAATTCGAGTGAGAACGATGCGCCACATTAAAAAGCATACACACCCACACAAACAGGTGTATGCGCAGAGATGCGCCAAAGCCAGAGATAACCAAGCAGTCACCTGTTTGTGTGTGTGTTCGCTGTCATTTATCTTCTTACGCTCATGCACTCACGACTCTTTTCGTTGCTGATCTGTGATTGGTCCTATCAATAATTGCGTGCATTGAAGTTCTCGTCTGGCCGATCGCCTGCTCTATTTTCTGAGCGCCAATTTTATGGACTTGAGCAACTTTGTTTTGTGTTAGTGTGGCCCTATTAGTCAATAGGGCATGTTGCTATGCTGCGAGCTATAGTCTATTAAAGCAATTATTATTTGAGTAAGGGCAAGTGCGGTACTTGTTTAATATATATTATTTATTATATTAATATATATATTTTATGGTTTGCTGTGCGCCGATTTTACTTCACTTTGCACCCACGCAATAAGTTCTGTTTTAGTTAAACGCCTGCAGTTGAATCAAGCTGTTTAAAATATAAAACTATGAAGCGTCTCAAGTAAATGCCATTATAATGCCAAATGACATTATTATGACAAAAATCTAACCTGTTGCCAAATCCGGTTCGGTTCGGAAATCAAAATGTAATCTATTATAAATAATTGGACTTAAGGAGAGACATTTAAAGTTTTAATATAATAATATATTTCATTTCATAAATAAAACTCGTGAGTAGATAATGACAAGCATCAAGTATGTACATATGTATACACACATTTCTATTTATTTGGCAATTCCCTCTTTCTATTACCTGTTGGGATGTGTGATTGTTTTCGTGTTATCTATTCATACATATGTGTATTTGCTTATGCTCCAAAAAATAATTTATCTTGTGATCGTTTGCTGCTTATTTTGAAAATTGTTTCCGAGATTGATTCTGATATAAAATCAACATATTTTGGTTAAATTAGCTGCCCTTCTAACTTTGGGTATAGCCATTATATTTTCTTTTGTTTTATTTTAAAAGTAGTTATAATTTTTGGTACTTTGCAGACCAGAATTATAAATCGACATTCGAAAATTCCACTATTAATATTTTAAAAAAATGTATCAAATTAGTAAGGGCAGCTATAAACCTCACTCGATTTTCTTTGCGCCAGTTTTTCTTGTCCACTTTACGCAGTAATTTTATTTAATTTATTCGTATGTTAGTCTCACCCAGGCAGGTGTTTAAAGCTCTTTAAATATATTGCGGATTGTCTTTAATAGACTTAAAAGGTATGTTGTTACGAAATCGGTCCTTATACATATACCCGAGTTGCAGCTATTTTAAATATCAGACTTGAATATCTCGTGTCTAATTTTATAAATAAAAATATCACAATTTCTCACAACCAGCAACTTACAACTTGCGGCTGTGCAGAATCTTTGCCCTGTGTTAATTTAATAATGGGCTCAAATTAACAGAAAACTACTTTGCGTGGGCGCAAGTCTTATTTAAAGCGATAAGCGCATGTGCAAATACCTACATGCATACATATTCGGCGATGCCCTCTGCCTGAGCATATTTGTGTGTGTGTGTGCATACTTGTACGTACCTTTGTATGCATGTGTGTGATTGCCTACACAAAACTAAGCTGCGCGAGGGGAATAGCAAAAAAAAATGTAAAAAAGGGCACACAGAAAGTAGAACAACTCTTGTTGCTGCTCACAAAAATTCGGGAGAGCGCGACGCATATGTAGATAATGCACAAGCACGCATATACACATATACACATATGTATGTATGTACATTTTTACATTTTTGCCTATTCCCTCTGCATTTTGTCTCCTTATGCATGTGTGTAATTGTTAGTAAGTTATCTACCTTCGAATGGCGCTCACTCGAGTTTTCGTGCACTTTTCGTCCACGCAGCATAATTCCGTTTTAATTAAATGCCAGCAGTCGAGTAAAGAAGCTTAGAAATATTATTAGTGATAATTCGCGGCTAAAAACTGTCCGTGTATATATTATCCGGCTCGTACGCATCGGAAATTATAATGGACATTAAAAGTAATGCTATTCAGAATTTTGCCAAAAGTGTATTCAACATTTTAAGAGTTCGGTCGATTTAAAGACTTTAACGAAACTTTAAACGTATACCTTTCCAAAATCTGATACAAATTAACCGATATAAGGCCATTCAAAGTTTGCCATAAGATGATGAAATTTTTCTGCTTAACAAATCAAGAGAGGGCGATGAACATGAAGATAATGCACTAGCAATCATAATCACATACATACGCGCATATTTTGCGATTCTGTCTGCATGCATATGTATGTACATATGTATGTTTAGGTGTGTGTTTCTGCAATTGATATCTACTTATGCTTGCTTGTGTATGCTTGCCTATGCGTTATCTACCTTAGAATGGCGCTCGCACGATTTGCTTAACTTTCGTCCGCTTTGCGTCTGCGCAACATAATTCTGTCTTAGTTAAATTGGAGCAGTCGAGTAAATCTGTTTATAAATAATATAAGTGATAATTCCCAAGAAAATATAGTCCGTATTTATAATGGTATATGTTTTCGGACTCCCACGGTTCGGATGTTTTAATTACATAAGAATAAATCGTATTCTAAAGTTTGATAGAAATGTGATCAAATTTTTAAGAGTTCGGTCGAAAAACAAAATGTTTTTCTTTTAAATACGAACTTGAATAAACCTAATCAAAACCCATCCAAAGTTTACCAAAAAAAAATGATCTCTTCATTTCGCGAAATTATTGTAAGAGTGCAATTAATAAGAAGACAAAGCAAAAGCTGTCATATACACATACATACGTACGCGCATACTTGACGATTATCTCTGCACACATAAATATGTTTGAGTGTTTTATGAAGGGATATCTACTCATGCTTATGTGTGGTTGGTTATGCGTTATCTACTTATGAATTTCTCTCTTACGAATTGCGAACTTAAGATCAATTGCTTGCTCTAATTTCTGTGCGCCGAGAAACTATTTTGCATATATGTATGTATTTATGTATTAGGCAAAGCGCAACTAAAAGTATCTATGTATGTATGTTTATGCGCAATGCTGCCTAGGCAAAAGGTGTTCTCTTCTTTTGCCTTGGTTCTATTGCCAAGCTTTCTTTCAATTTCGGTAAATTTTTGTTTTAAACAAAGGCAACTATTAAACAAGATAAATAATTTACATAAAGGCTGCTCTAAGAATCTACTAATTAAATAAAAAAAGCGTCGTTCATATTAACTACTGTGGTCACACTAACAGATTGCTAAATTGTGAGTGCCTTAAGTGGTCGAAAAAGCCGGCGCACAGAAAATAAGCAAGCGATCAAAATTCGAGTGAGAACGATGCGCCACATTGAAAAGCATACACACCCACACAAACAGGTGTATGCGCAGACTTGCGCCAAAGCCAGAGATAACCAAGCAGTCACCTGTTTGTGTGTGTGTTCGCTGTCATTTATCTTCTTACGCTCATGCACTCACGACTCTTTTCGTTGCTGATCTGTGATTGGTCCTATCATTAATTGCGTGCATTGAAGTTCTCGTCTGGTCGATCGCCTGCTCTATTTTCTGAGCGCCGATTTTATGGACTTGAGCAACTTTGTTTTGTGCTAGTGTGGCCCTATTAGTCAATAGGGCATGTTGCTATGCTGCGAGCTATAGTCTATTAAATAAACAAATCTATTATATAAACAAATACATATATTGTGTACAATCCCCAGCATGGTTAAATGGACACACAACTAACTAACGCGAGCGCAAAGGGGACAAAAAAATCGACGCACAGAAAAAAAATGCAAATATTGCCTGGGCCTGTTAGCAGCAAATTTTTGTGGTTGTGATGCATAAGTAAATAATGCATTATACACATATTTACGTGCATATTGGACGACTATCTCTGCATATATATGTTTGGGTGTGTGTTTTTAGCAATTGATATCTCCTTATGCTTGCTTGCGTATGCTTGCCTATTTGTTATCTACTTTTTAATGTCGCTCACTCAAATTTACGGTTTACATTCTCAATTTGCATTTCGCGGACTTTTGTCCACTTTGCGTCTGCGCTACATAATTCCGTTTTAATTAAATGCCAGCCGTCGAGTAAAGCTTGTCTGAAAATACTATAAGTAATATTCTCGGATAAATACCATCCGTATTTCAAATAGTATATGTTTTTGGACTCGTACATATCGAGGGTATCAATTGGCATTATAAAATCGAATTCTAAACTTTGACCAAAATGTCTTTGCCCAAATAGCTAACTGATTGGAAGTTCTAGTTGGTTTTAAAGACTTACAAATCCCAAAAGATATATCCTTCCAAAGTCGGACATCATTTAACCGATATATCTAAAAAATCGAAATCTAAAAAAAAAAATACTAATTAATTTTTAATTTTATATTTTACAGCCAAATCTGTCATGGGCAGGAAAACATTCAGTATCGTTGGTACCTAGATTACCTTGGTTATTTCATACCATGGATATACATTCAACAAAATCTCGTTCTAAATTTTGACCAAAATGGTAATGGTGACATTGTTACTGAAAACAACATGTTTTGTGTTCGTCAAAGGCTCACAAATCCTAAAAGGTACGCCTTTGCAATATCGTTCCGTTATATTTTAGCTTACAAAAACTTATAAATTTTTTATGTTTTCTTTCAGCGAACTCTGCCACGACCATGCGCAGTAAAATATTCAGTATTGTTACCTTGATGCCAAATATATCCTTGGTTATTCCATTCAATGAAGACATTTTAAACAGTGTGAAGTTGTTGTCAAATCTGGATCGGTTTTGAAATCCAAATTTTTTGTGTGCTGTCGATTTTAAAGGCTTTAACGAATCCTAAAAGGTACGTCTTTCCAAAATCAAACGTAGTTCAACCGATATGTTATAGTTTTCAAAATTCATATATTTTTCATTTTGTATTTTTCAGCCCAATCTGCCGTGCCCATAGACAACATATAATCAACGGATCGGCGGAGTTATGTCGCTTTAAAATGACATAATCTCGCGCGGGACAACGCCAGACCTCTGTCGTTTTTAACCGTCATATCTCCGTGCAGAAATCTTTGCTGGAGAAACATTTAAGAATTTGGATTTTAAAGCTTGTTAACAATCAGCATATAATCGCAAATATTGGTACCTAGTTGACCTATATATCCTTGGTGATTCCATACCATGGATATAGTCCTAGCGAACCTAAATGACAAAACACGCAAGATCATGATCCAAAAATATGCATGCTTTTTTACCCCGCCCCCTGGATGGTTCCTAGTTGACTATCATATCCTTGGTTATACCATACCATTGATAGAGTCCTTGGGAACCTAAAGGATCAGATCCCTGCAAAATGCGCATGGAAATGGTCCAAAAACATGTATGCTTTTTCTTTCAGCAGGCCTTTTACATTAGCTGCAGCTGCAGCTGTTGTTTAACAACCGCCTTACAGCACTCTTTTTACATGAACTGCTACTTAACAGTACTCATTTTAAATGAGTTACATTTTTGCAATTTTTTATTCGAAGAACTCGGCGACCTTCTGGGCATTTCTGTTCGCCTGGTACTTGAGTGGAATTTTAGTGCTAATTTGGGACCGGCGACGAGGGCGCCCCTTTTTACTACGTCATTTTCGGCCGCAAAAATATTAATTGTCGACCTTCTGGGCATTTCTGTTCGCCTGGTGTTTTTGGGAAATTTTAGTGAAAATTTGGGACCCAGCCGGCGACGAGGGCGCCCCTTTTGGGTATGCAATGAAATTTTTCGGCAGCTAAAAATATTTATTGTCGACCTTCTGGGCGTTTCTGTTCGCCTAGTATTTTGGCAGATTTTAAGAAAAATCTCGGCAGCCAGCGGTTGCCAACAGACCGCCCCTGCGGGTATGCAATGGATTTCTAAAAACAGTTAATTTTTGAATTTATAAATAAAAAAACAGGATTTTCATTTTAAATAATGCATTTATTTTTGTTTAAATTTATAAAATAGTTTTTTATGCTTATTTTCTTAATTATTTCTCTTAAAGGTGTACAAAACGAGCATAAATTATAATTTTAGCTTAGTTGTTCTTAAAGTAGCAATATCTGGCTTAATTAAAGTCCGATCCTGGAAAAATTTGCTTTGTCCCTCGAGGAGATCCTTGGAATTCATTGTAGTCCTTAATTTGTCAATCTGAAATGATAAAAACACATTTAATTAAACAAGGCAAAAAATGTATAAAAGCAGTTTATGTAACGAAAAAAGGAGATAACTCGGCCATATCCTAGCAGATTTTCAAAGGACATGGTGCGTTAGGATCGTATAGACTCACTGCATCGATCTGCATCAAAAAAATATGGGGTCATCTAAGAATCATAGGACTTGCATTTTCACTTGTAAAATTTCAGTCGCGGAGCGCACGGAAATGGGCTGAAAACACATATTCTCAAATATATCCCAAACTACAAGGACGATCTTAATGAAATTTGGCCAGGGGGTAGTCCTAGTTAATACAATTATTTTGATACATGGCTCGCCAGGATACACAAGGATACGGCCGAGCTATGGCTTATTTTTTATTCACAAAATCGTCCTTAAAACTTTTTTGTCTGAAGGACTTTCGTCCTTTGGGTTGTAAATTCTTAAATGGGAGGGCGAGGACTATATGCTGACCAAAGGACATCCCGATAGTCCTTCAAATGTCCAAGTTAGCCCGGATATTTTCGAATTTTGCTATTTTTGTGACTAACCCCCTAGAAAAAATTTAGGTAAATTTTTTTGTCGAATCCTTGAAATCCTTAAATGCCAATCGATAGTCCTGCTCCCCACGAGTTGAGAAAGGCATATCCTTCCGATATCCTTAAGGATTTGGCCGAGTTATGGCCATTTAAAAATTGTCCTTTTTAGAAAATTGGCCATATTTCGGAAACGACAAGGACGATTTTGTTGTCCTTTGGACCGTTTATTGCCCTTGTTCATACGATTTGTTTGAAACAGGACTTGTCAGGATCCGCAAAGATACGGCCGAGTTATGGATTTGTTAATTTACGAAAGAATTGTACTCATATCTATGCTATCTAAAGGACTATCGTCCTTTACATTATATATATTGAATTGGGAGGATTAGGACTAACGGTTGGCAAATGTACATCATGATCGGCAAGGATACGGCCGACCTACAGCCATTTATCTCTACAGACAAAAATCTCTTTTCCTAGGCTCCTTGAAGAATTTTCGTCCTTTTTATTACATATTCTAAGTAAGCAGGAAAAAACGTGATGTAACCCCTTGCCATTTTGGCCGATTTGGGCCAAAATTTAGATTTTCATTTTTTGATGCTAATCGATAGTACTGATCCTTAATCCGAGTCCAAAATGGTATAAAATTCCCAAATCGGACATTATTTGGCCGAAATATTCCAAAAAATCATCAAAAAAGGTTGACTACACACAGGCGAATCGGTTTTTGGTAAACCACTTTTTTTAACCCATCGATTTTTAAAATGTTTGAATGCCATTTGTTAGAAGGGATCAGTACAAATTCAAAAGGTATAACATTTCAAAATCTGACATTATTTGGCCGAGATTTTGAAAAAAAAACATCAACAAAGTTTTGATTTTCGAACCGACCCCGATTTTTAGAAAAAACGGGATGTAACTCCTTGCCATTTTGGCCGATTTGGGCCAAAATTTAGATTTTAATTTCTTTGATGCCGATCGATAGTACTGATTCTTACGAGTCCAAAATGGTATAAAATTCCCAAATCGGACATTATTTGGCCGAGATATTCCAAAAAATCATCAAAAAAGGTTGACTTTACAAACGAATCGGTTTTTGGTCAACCACTTTTTTTAACCCATCGATTTTTAAAATGTTTGAATGCCAATTGATAGTAGGGATAGTAGGGATTCGGTCGAATTCAACAAGGTATAACATTCCAAAATCAGACGTTTTTCATCCGTTTTCGTTGGTTTTAAAACGTCATATCTCCGATCTAGAATCAAGAATATACTTTGTTTAACCGTGTGGAGTCAGAAAAGCTTTCTGTTACATACATTTGCACAAAACCAATATACCCCTTTTACCCATTTTCAGAACACTAAAACAACCCGAACATTCCATATCAGAATAACAAATAGAGCCAATACTGCGACTACCTGTTCCTTAGCCCTTGGGTTCAAAACCTGTTCTCACTCAAAAACATGTTGCTGCCAGTGCTTCTTTATTTTTGTTTTCTTTCGTTGCTCTTGAACTGTGCCCGAAAAATCTCTTGTTTCATTAAAGCAGGTAGGGATCATAAATAAGACTATAAGCACAGCTTTACTGTGAATACTGAGATCGACTGGTCTAATATTACATTGAACCCCTTTTTTCACTAATTTATGTTGCTTATGAATATACTTAGTTTTAATTTACTTAAAGAAAATGCACTTTTTATTTGCGAGGCAAACTTATTCATGGTCTGCGCAATCGAACAAAAGAATACAATCTCAGATCATATAAACTAATTTATTAACAAGTTTATGAATAATATTTCGATTTTTATTGATTGAATAGAAAAAAAAATATATATATATAGTCAGGAAATGCTAGTATTAACATATTTGTATCTATCATAAATAGGAACTCAAACTATTCTGAACGCATCGTCAAAATCATAAAAAGTCTTCTGATTCTAGTTAAGATTCGGCTATTACGATTTATGGTTTGGTTCGTGGTAAATACAAAATAGGAGCTTGGGGCTTAAATCGGTTCAGCTCAAAACTAGTGTGCAGCATTAATCAAAAACCGAAACAATTATAATTATTGCATACCAATAATTATTGTTAACGCACTTAAATGTATCTAAATTCTCGTTACCAAAAACGGCAGAACATGACATTGCTGAAAATAGTAAAGCAAAAAGTATCTAATTATTGTATTGAATAGAAAATTTGAAAGGTTTGGTTCCCACGTCGAAGGTGCGGCCAGGATAATTGCCATGAGAGGCAAAGGCATGGGTTTCCCACGCTTCAGGCAGCATTTGATTCGGAGCTAGCTGTCAGGATACTAACCTGTTAGTGTTGTGCATCTCGCAAGACTCCGTAAACGTGAGAAATTTGGAATCCACCACCTGCCAGGTTTCGGCATCTGTGATTGGCTGAGATGCTGCAGCGACTCTCAGAGACGGTTTCTCAGTCAGGGTTGAGGGAGGGTATAAATAGGGTAGGCACGTTAGAGAGAGCATCAGATACAGTTTGACTCCCGCACCGGCAGCACTCAATATTTACACAATATTCAACAAGTAGAATGTCGAAGATATCAGCGAAAAATAACAAACAGTTCATCAGCAATAACAAGAAGAAGTTCACGATGTACTCCTACAAATCGAAAGTGTCACCGACTCGTCGGCTTACAAATATTCTCAAGCCGCTGCTTGGCCACTTTTTCAAGCTAAAGGCAAAGCAGCCGAAGCGAAGCTCCTATATCGCTTCGGATGAAAAGGAATCTGAGTTCGACTGGCTAAACAACGATATGGACAATATGTCGAACGAGCACCTCGAAAATCGGCTCATCGAGGAGATCAGGCAATGCGCCAAAGAGGATGCGATCGTTGTCTACAACGAAGACGGATCCGGCGAACTACAAACATTCGATCAAGGAGAATACTATGTGCCCGTACACTTTGCACGCACCAATGGCGGCACATTCTTCTGGACCTCTCTGCAGCCCAAGTCGGCGAAGCCCTATGACATCGAGTGGAACTTCCACGATCGCTGGGCACAAGCCTGAAGGACACACTTAAGCAAATATGGGTTCTAAATTCTTCAAGTCTGGGCATGGCTTCAGTAGGTTGGGTAGATAGGCCTGCGGTCTTCGAATCAAAGTTCGAATGAGGTTCGCACTTCGACTTTGAGCTCATCAGCGGGGCAGACTGTACACTATGGAAGCATTTCCCTGAAATTAATGTATTGGCTTTGCATTATAAATGATTGTTTAAAATGTTTAAAGCGCTAGCAACACATTAATATTAGCACAGTTGATCGATTCGTTCTTTTACCTATCGTAAAAGTATACAATTGCAACAGGGCGGGGTAACGATATGTTTGTAAACAAAAGTGAAATGAAATAAAAAAAATATTCAAAATATGCCTGATATCTTTTACTTTTTGAATCTATATTTTTCACTTTCCAGCTTTTAAAAACCAAATCGATCGCCGTATCCATTATTGCGGTTCGCCAGAAACAATACACACAGTGCATGAATAGAAAACAGCTCGCTTTTATTCTATAACCAAGTGAGAATGGTCGGAATTATTATGCCAAAGACCACAAAGACCAGGGTCAGCGATTTGGTGGATGTGATTTCAGGTTTGAGATCGTTATGAAAGGATCCCTATAAAAAATCATTTTGAGATCTGTACATTTTTCGTTTGTTTTAACCAGGCAAGACTGGGTATATTATTGGACTGTATATCATTAAAGAATATCGAAACAACAAAATTCGATATAATTCAATTGCGTGAGAGACTTTAGAAGTGCTTCAATATATTAAAAATCTCAAGCATAGAATTAATTTTCACAATATAAAAATCATTTTTACATTTATTTGTATTTACATTTAATGGAAGACTTGGAAAATGTTGTTATTTGACTTGGGAATTTTGTCTACCCTGGTCAAAGTAATACTCTCTAGCTTAAGAACAAAAACAACAAGTTATAACTAAAATAACAATGGGTGGTCCTTGCATCGTATAAGAACTGCCGATGCAAGGACTTTGCACATGTGTCCCTATGGCTAAATTGCACTTTTCCCATTCACGGTCCTTTTGTAAGCTGCTGTCATCTGCCGAATATCCTGCATATTGACAGCTAACTATTTTAAAGCTGATCACCAACCAAAATCTGATGGGCTGCGCTCAAAGCGCCTTAAAGCTGCATCCCTCCTGCTAGGCCTCGGGGATGTCCTTCACAGTTCAGAGTTCAGTGTATCCAATGGCCATAGCATCATTTCCAATGCTCCCTCCTCAAATGTGCTTTTGGGAGTGTGCCTGAAGCCATGCTGCCGTTGAAGGTTGTCGCTCAGAACTGACTGACTTGCCAGCAATGCGCACAATTTATATACAGACCGCGACGGCAGTGATCGACCCGCCCCTCTATGCACCATAAGCGAAGATAGGAAGTATACAAAACAAACTAATACATAATGTATGTAGGTACATAAGTATGTTAAACGGGTATTGTTATCTGAAACTACTGCACACATATGTACACTTCCAGATACATATACAGAAGAATGAACCCATATGAGCAGCAGCCCGGCGCAAGTCGAGGCAGGGTCACTGAAACCTTTGCTACCTACTAACATTCATATGTATGGGTATGTACACATGGTACACATAGAAGTTATGTATGTCTGAACGTGCTGCTCTTATCAAAAGACCCTTGACCCACGATTGTGTTTATCGCCTTTTCCTTTCTATTGCTGACTGCAGTCACTCTACCCTTGCTTAGGCTATTCAATTTTTATCAACAAGTGTGTAACGCATAGAAGAGAAAGACCTTCCTGATAGAACATGTCCGCCCGCTTTATCCAACTATCTAGTTAAATATAGTTTTTGAGATACATATAGCATATAGAATAGAAGGCTGAGATTCACAATACAATTTTTGTATGGAAACATTTCCATACACTTTATCTGTAAGGGTGTTTAATCTTCGGCGTGCCGAAAATAGAACATTTATCTTTGAACAGAATTTATTCGTCTTCGTCTGTTCGCATGAATGCACTTGAGGCACTTGGTACTGAAGTTACAGAGTCTGAACTTGGAAAATATATTCCAACACAGTGTTGAGATGTTTTGGCAATACACCCAGTTTCGTATCTTGCATTTATCTCCAGACACCAATGTTGGGAGGTAGCCTACTCAAGATCTCTCTCGAATTATCGAGAGAATCATAAACCCAAAGAGGGAAGATTTTTTTTGCCATTTACTTAAATCTAAATCAGTTAAACGTTCTTATTGTCGAAACAGAATACCTCTTATTCTTAATATTAACAGTACATGAAAATATTATAAACTGTCAACCTACCTTTTTTTAATGGCAACCATGACCTTCGTCTAAATTGAATCCCCGAATGACTGGTCTCTCAGACAGCTCATTAATTGAGGACTGCTCTTTTTCTTCCCAACTAGAATGAAAAAATAAGATTGCATTTAAGTATATATGTATATTGTTAAAACATTTAGCTAGTTTGTTCGGTTTTCTCACAGTACATCAATATGATGCATTTGGTGATAATAACAGTAGCCTATATATAGTTAATAATTCATTATTTCTGGTGTAATCAATTATAAATAAATAAAAAAGCAATGAACAAACGAGCCAACTGCGAACAGTGCACAGTGCACAGTGCGAAGTGAGCAATTGCAGTTGTGTATCAAAAAGTAGAAGTCAAATATGGTAACTAGAGATGGATCATATGAAATAGGTGGCAGAATAATAATTTACCTTAATTGTGTGAAATTTAATTATAGGTGAAAACATTTCAGTTGGTTGTAGTTGTTATCTTAACACTGACAAAAGTTGTCGATCAACTCAGAACATCCAATGAAAATATAGATGCCGACTCGAAAATGGCTCGAACGATGAGCCAAATGAAGAAATATGAATATTGTATTAAAATAATAGTGGTTTGTTATGCTGTCTTTGATTCTCCGCCTGATTATGAAGACGAAATTAACCCGTCTCCGACGAGAGTCAATAACGCAATGAATGAAGCATTTAAGAAAACCAGATGCATTCCAAAGAATCTCACCTATGCAGAGAATATAACGTTTTGGGAAAGTGTGCGTCGTTGGCAAAGCGAAGTTGATGAACAGCTCCTAACTACGAACATTTTTACAATTAAAGAGGAATTTGATAACGGCAAGGCAATTAAACTAAACCTATGGAATATTTTCAAAATTCGCAAAGTGGTCATCTGCAATAGAACAAAAATCCTTGATGAGCAAACCACCACACGTGCTCCATCCACAACCCTGCCAACAATCGAGACAAGCACGGCCGTAACGACTACGGAAATACCAGGTGAGCAGGAAAAGAGCTGTGATGAGCGCCAGGAAATCGGCATTTGGATAAACGAACAGATGCAAATGGAAGACCGGCTGAGTAATTTGATCAAGTTGCCACCAAATATTTTATCAAAACTGGATTTGCACATCAACCGAAACTGTTGTCCCTATGCCATACTTCGCGACCGAGTTGAAGTTATCAATGATAACGTTGACGCCATAATGCAGCTGAAGGCCTTGGAGGTATATGCACGGGCTAAATCAACTGGTTTCGCCCTGTTAGACGTTCGCAATTTGATGATAAGACTGGAATACCTGAATCAAAAAACCATCAAAGGCAACAACTCTGGCGGCAACTGCTGCGTCAATTGGGAACCAGAAGTTAAAGGCGCCCAGTCTAGATTTCAATCAAAAAAAGATTCTATCCAAAGCTACACACCAAACGGTTCCATTTACAATTCATTGGCTGAGTTTCAAAATAGCTTGGCCCAGACAATTAACCGCCAAGAAGACCGACTGCTCATAACGGAAGCAATGTCTGCAAAATATCCGGCTAGCAGGATTTCAAAGTCGCAATGCTGCATTAGTAACAATAATAATAATACAAATAATTATAGCAACAGTTTGCCGCTAATGGATGATATACAATTATATGATTTCAAGCAACATTCAAGTAAGCAACTACAACAAAGTGCTGAAAACTTAACTGATACCATTCAAAGTACACAAATGCTTATCAACGAGGAGCAAACAAAGGCTGATAGCTTGATTTCATTGTGTACTGAAATGTGGATGGAAAAGCAGAAGGCCGATAATCAAAGTAAAACAATTGACTCTAAGTTGAGCCAATTGGATCAGGATGTCCAGCAAAATGCGAACAACTTGAATGCCAAGGCTCCAGAAGTCCAGCATACTAATGAAATTGCCGACAACGGGAATAAAACTCTGGATATCATAATGAACAAGCTAAATAATGCGTTTGGCAAACAGATAAGGGAAAATGAACGTCGTGCTCGCGAAATTGAAAATTTCATGAACTCGATGAAAGAATTTGATTTAAGCAAAGAACATTTGTTTAGTGATTGTTTAGTTATAGTAGGTAAATTGAAGGTCGTGCAAAAACTTAACTTAGACCTCGATTCAAATAAATATGCCTTCAAATTCGATACCCTAAGGGCAGACGCAACTCTAAAAGAACTTTATGACAAACTTAACGATTTCGCTAAAAAACTTTCAATGCATATTGCAAATATTGACTCAGAGTCTAAGAAACCAAAAGAAAATGAACAATATAAGCTACTTAATTTAATAGGCAAGCAAATTCAGGACTTAGCGCCCATTGCAAGAAAGCACAGTAAAACAGAAGACAACCAATCCCAGAATATAATCGAAGCTAAAGGTAAACTGCATGCAAAGTTGACCGGTCAGCCGGAGCAGGTCGAACTAGCCGATTCTTTAGATGCGAAAATCAAAAAATTTGTTGAGAGAGGTATTAGCGAGCTCGAACTCAAGTTAAATGCATCCAATTCCAGTCCAATTGGGAACTCAGCTCAAAGTCCCGACATATTTAAGAAACTAGACGACCTGGAAGCAGACTTCAACAACTTGCGGGACCAACGAAACGGCAAGGAACAAGAGATGTTGAACAAAATTGCCGATTTGAAAAGTCGTCTGAAAGAGGTCAATGATAAAATATTCAATGCTGAAGCGGCGAATAAAAAATGCTTAACGGAATGTGATTTTGGGGAATTACCCTCCATAGAAGAATTACAGGATAGATTGCACACATTGAAAATATACTTAAGAAAACGTAAACAAGCTACTAAAAGAGGTCCTTAATAACTATAAGTGCATATCCGATCTAAAAAAGCAAATAAATATATATTAAGCTATTACATGGCTTAGGCGTCTTTCCTGAACAACCCATTTATGTACTTTTCTGGGTACATTTAAAATTTTTGCAATATTGGCATATCCGTCCGTGCATATATATATATATATATCTTAATTTTTTTAAGCTATCGACTTAGCTTTTCGAAATAAATATTTTTGACAGATAGAAAAGAGCACCTCCGTTAGGACCTACAAACCTACATATTTACTAATAAATATCAATCGCAAAATAATCATAATAGGTTTCTTAAAAGCTATTTGTCAATGTGTATGGGCAGGGAAGAAGAAGTGAAGAATTATTAAGAAGAAAACTCCAATTATTTACATGCACACTTATACATTTTGCGGGCGGAGCGAGTGAGATGTTCATCCATCTGTATCTGCATAAATTTATTAAAAGCCATTTACCTTTTATGCATGTGTAATGTTAGCACATGATCTTTACACACATTTTACATAGCACATTCTTATCCACTTTTAGTTTATTTAGTTGTTCCATTTCATGACACTCATAATTTTAAATTTGTTCATAAAAAACCTTTCAAAACAACCGCCAAATTTATAACGCGTTTTGCCGTTTTAAAATTTGAACGAGTTGGCAGCCCTGTCGACAAAATCAGCTGTGCGGTCTAACACGTGCATGTGTGTGCCTGGCTGTACAGAGCTTGTGTGGAAAAGTTCACAAGCGTAGAACGTAAAAAAGTAAAACAACACAGAATGCGTCAGAATACACCGCCGCACCGGCCCGACTTCGATTACGCAGATGACGAAATCCTGGAGGAAATTGAACTGGATGGCGATCCGCCGCTTGATGATGACATCGACGAGCTAGAAATGGAGGAGGTGACGTTGGCGCAGCTGGAAGCACGCTTGGGCATGAACAACGATTCCGACGATGCCATGGACAATGAAGAAGATGAGGAGGAGGAGGCGAGGGATCGTGAACGCATTGCTGCCATCAAAGATGAAGCCGTGTTCACGTTCCGCAAGCACACAGCACCTGTCTTTGGCTGCAATCTGCATCCGAAGTTCAATTGGGCTGTCACTGGCAGCGAAGATGACCGCGCCTATGTGTGGGACACCAACAACGGCGAGGTGCTGTTCGAGATAACTGACCATAAGGACACCGTTACTGAAGCGCATTTCAGTCATGATGGCAGTTACCTGGCCACAGGCGACATATCCGGTGAGCTGCTGGTGTTCAAAGTAAACGAACAGAACGACGACCGACCCATTCTAAACAAGGTCTGGGAGTACTCCATGTTCGACATGGCCTGGATGTTCTGGCATCGTGCTGCTAATGTACTGCTGGCCGGTGGCGACAGTGGTGAGGTCTACATATGGCGTATTCCTAGCGGGGAGTGCAAAATACTACCTGGACACTCCGCGCGCTGCGAAGCTGGCGAGCTAAGCGGCGACGGCAAGAAACTGCTTACAGCCTACACGAATGGCGTAGTAAAGCTGTGGGATCTAAAGACCTGTTCGGTGCTAATGGAGGTGAACGAGCAACACCCTCTTGCTTTTGGGGAAATCAGTCATGCTGTCGTGGCCTGTGAACCGGATTCGCCGTTTTATTTGTGCGCCGAAGGTGGTGGTGAGTAAACATAATATTGTCCATTTATGTGTTTATATGCTATAGACCATAACCAACATACATATATTCGATTCTTAGGCAAACTACTCTTCTGCACTAACAATGGACCGGTGAATGTTGTCCAGTCAGAGCACGGGATTGAATGCATTGCCTTCGCTCCTTCTTCGGCAGATCTAAAGCTAGTGGCCTGCGGCTCGCTGGACGGCCAGATCTCTATTTGGGACTATTCCAAGTATGCGCTACGCACGATTTGTGAAAGCCCGGTGCCGAATGACGGAATACTTCGGTAAGTCCATATATATTACATCAACATACTCCATATATGCTAAATTGGGTACAATTTACTGCAGGCTTAAATGGTTGAACGATCATACTTTGCTGACAGCCACCGCGCAGGGAAATCTGCATGCATTCGATGCACGCACAGGCGATCTTAAATTTACACTCACTGGACATTTCTACCATATATATGAATTTGCATATAAATGTCAGGAAAATTTATTGTTGACCGTTTCGGAGGATACCACAGCGAAAATATTTAAAATACCCCCTCTGGGCGAATAGATATTAATATTAAGGGTACAAATACGATGCTTATTAAATTTACAAAAACTTTACAAATTTATTTTATGTAAATGTGCAGGTAGCAACAACAGAATCCCAAATAATATTGCTATATATTGATATATTGATTGCATTGTTCAAGTTTTATCCGCAGCAATTGTGTCGAACTTAGTACAAGAAAGTGTACAGATATGATTAGGCCAAAATGATAGCTGGCTGCATACACAAAATGCAAACAAACCAACGATTTAAATAGATGCCAACGAATTGCAAGCTGCACCCTTTGGGTGAATTTTTCTCTCTGGTTTCGGACATGCGTGCACAAACTCTGAGAGGGGCTACGAAACTGAAACTGAAACTGACGATATGGCTTGCTCAGCTAGTTACACTAGAGAACAGCTTTAGACTCTGCATATGAAATGGTTCAGAGTACGTGCATTGCACACAACTGTAATTATGTACAGGTGGTAATATGTTGTATAGTGTCGTATGTACATATATACAGTTCCTGCCACGCACACGCACGCATACTATCATAGGCACAACCACACACACACACACACAGAAATCTACCCACACAATTTTATACAATTGTCTAAAATGTTGCTGATTCGTTTTTTGGTGTTTTATTTTATTAAAGCTTTTCATGTTTTATTCTCTCAGTGCAGTGTCCGTGTCATTGTGCATTAGACAAGAATCACTTTCAGTTCCATTCGGGTTTTCTAACCGTGCGTTACGGTTGTCCAACGGACTGAGCAAATTTACATACATTTATGTTCACATGGGATAAATACGCGCTCGGCGACAGTTCGGTTCCGCAAAAGGGTAACAACTGCTCAAGCATCATTTAACAAGGATGTTGCCACAGTGGATTAATACTTAAATGCATAATATCTACGTAAGGATATATACTAGTGAATAGATTCTTTTTTGCGATCTGATCTGCGTACTAAAATTAACATATTACACTTGACTAAAGAAACGAAGAAGTGGCGCGCAGTGAGCTAAGCGTTGACAGCAATAAACCCCTCTAAGACGAAATATGACTTTTGACAGCAGCGTCAAGAATCAGATAGATAAAAATTGTATTATCGAAAATTGCATATGGAAGTAATCCATCATATTTTGGGTATGACTAGGGCGCAAAACTAAAAACCAAAAACACAAAACCAAACAATAAAAGTCGGAACCACAGTTAATCAACGACAAAAACAACCCACCGTTTGTGTGCACACAAGCAAGTAAATATTTGTATGCAGATGAATGTATATATGTATATATGTACATATATATATGCATATGTCAAGCCGCCGCTGTGTGGCATGCGTGTGTCTCATTGGCGACTCTTACAATTAGATTACCAGACCAACAACAACCGCCATCTATAACATTATAGTTGACAATCAAAATCTCAGGCCACTATAAAACGCAGGCGCTACGATTCGTTTTTCGATGGCATCTCTTCTGTACAGTTGATCTGTATGTTCATTCATTGGTACATAGCCACCAGCATACATACATACATCCATATGTATGTATGTATGCCTGTATGTCGGCACTAAAAGTTCGTTGGGATTACGATCACCGCAAAATTGAATTATCACAGTTTGAAATGTGACATACACGCGCCTAGCGATCTCCACCACAAAAGCGATTTAGTTATGGGTTCCTCCATATATATGGAAACATACATATACATACGTACATACATTCCGTATATTATACGAAATTGATGTGTTTTAGTTGATAACAATACGCTCAAGTGTTTTACAAAAGCCCCACCAACTTTAATATGCACATAAAATGTTCACATACAAATACTATGTCAAGCAATATATAGAAATGAATTTCGACTATAAAAATAAATAACAAGACCATGTGCTCGAAACTAAAACATATCTGTCCTGCTTGAACCGTACATGAGCCTGGGTATTTACCGATTTAACTGTTTCCTAATTACAGAAAATTTTAAATGATTTATTCATTTCTAAGATCGATTCGTTCATACAGATGGATAAGCGGAATGGGTTAAACTGCCTCCCGATCAAATATACAACTTAAGGGTTAAAGGTGATTCCTTCTACCTGTTGCACACATTTACACAAATCCATTATTCCCCTTTTACTTGGGTATACAAAATTACATGCTGAACAAATTAGCGCTTAATGCATATTAAAATCATGTAAACAAGCTAGTTAAAGTTTATATTAAGACTACAAATATTGTTACCTGTTCTTGCCAATTCAACCAGATAGCAATAGGTAAATAAAAATCAATATGCAATAAAATATGGTTAACACTTCATTAACTCTTTAGAGAGTTGATTTTATGTGATAAACAGACCGCATTTGAGTACTCGACTAGCAGATACCCAGCATCCTTAAATGTGTATAAAAGAACGGCTCACATTATAGAAGAATGAGCAACAACATAATACAGCTTCTCAATCTACATAGACAAACGGAATATTGCATAGCCGGAACATATTATTATAAAGTTTTTTTTTAATGAGGGTAATAATATTGATAACGAATTAATTAGCGAACAACTTGAAACATAATCTATTTATTTGGAGATTAGGTCTTCTATTTCGAAGCTCCCATTACGACTGAACTGACAGAACTGTGCCATACAATTTTATATATGTATGTACATATTTATACACGTCAATGCAAATGCCAACTTCTATTTGATGGAGATCAATTTCTAAATGAGATGAAATTTGAACACATTCCCTTGCGAATGATTGTTGGAAAGAATTAGCTGAATTGTCTATCAAATTCAATATCTTTCATACATAGCTCCACATTGCATATATATACGTATGTATGTACATATTTATATGTATATTAGATGCATCATATCGACTAATACAATTTGACAAACTGGTACTTTTTATCTGCGTCTTATAAGTTAACAATTCAGGCCACGTAAAACACTCGACTGGTCAGTGTGTAACAAAAGACAGAAGATACATACACACATACATACAAACATACATACATACATATTTGCATACATACATACATACGTATATAGATAAGCACTTACAGCGATGTGATTGTCACGCAGTTTTATGTTGAGCGAAGAGCTTGAGGGGGGCACCAATAGTTTTGTTATAATTAATATCAACATTGCCAGAGAACTGCGACTCAATGTTGGCAGAGAGGTAAAAATAAAGTCTCTTACACTGAAGCCAAACAGTTAAGGGAGAAACGTGCACATATTTAGCTTTTGGCAGTTGATGTTGTTGAACATATGCATGGTTTTTTGTATGTAATTATGTACAGCAAACTCATGTCTGTTCTTATACAAATATGTGTATATAAACATATATAAATGAAATACATATATGTATGTATGTATGTACATTGCAAATGCGTCAAGCAGTGGCACATAATAAGAAGTTGGAGGGAGAGTTGCTGAAAATAAACGCTGCAGAAATGTGGACGATTCTTGCATCATGCTTGCGTGCGACAGTTTTTGGCTAGGAAAAAATGAGAGAGACGCATGCGAAAAAGTGTCTAGGTCTAACAAACTTTTTTCATTACAGGTTCTCAGGTAACGGCTAATCTAGGGCGCCAGGTAAATCAACGCAAGTCTGTTCAAGATTGTATGGCAAGCCCATAGAAGCACAAATAAAGAGCAAATGCGTAGTGCACTAAGAGAGCGAGAGAAAGAAAGAGAGAGGGAAACTCTAAGCACAGCTGTCGTCGATTTGGTCTCTGGCATAAAGCGGAGGGTACATTAATATTTCAAACTTAGTTTGGACTCGGAGCGTGTAAAGTGTGGTCGATCGGGCAGCCTGGTGCGCGAGTAGAGTGTTCTTTAAATGGCAAACAGGAACAGAAAACAAAACGGGAACACTTTTGAATATTAGCACAGTAGTTGTCACTGAACAGATGCTACTCCAAGCACAGCGAACTCTTCACCTCACAACGTTTTAGGAGCGACTGACGGAACACGTGTACCCTATGAATAATTAGTGTGCAGCGAATGAGTAGGCCATAAGTGTAAACGCGTACACACATACATATGTAAAGTACACGTGAACATGCACACACTCAAACGAACGTACAATAAGCACATGCAAATAATAAAATAAAAGCATGTGGCCGCAAAGTAAAACACAAAATTGAACTTTTTATACAAGATCCACGCTGGCAGTGAGCGCGCCGGGCGCAGACTGATAAATATAGTTAAAAAAAAAAAAAAAACACAAAACAAAAACATGATACATGAGCCTTCAGAAAAATAAACATATTTAACAATTCAAGATATCAACCAAAGGACCAATTTATAACCAATTTAAAAAAATCAGCACAAGCGAGTAACTCGCCAAATATCTCATATTGTCAATTGGCTCTTCATTGCGAAGCAAAGAGTAATAAAAAAAATGACACGAATTCAAGCCAGCGATACGCTGATACCGCGCCAGGTATTCGAGGTGCCAGCGCAGTCGGAGGGCGATAAAAAAGCACGTGCACGCAGCAACTCCTCCACAGACACATCCAGTCAGGAGTCGGGCGTGAAACTGAAGAAACAAATTGGACTACTCGACGGCGTCGCTATCATTGTTGGCGTCATCGTCGGCGCCGGCATTTTCGTCAGCCCCAAAGGTGTGCTCATGTACTCCGGCTCGATTGGACAGTCGTTAATCGTCTGGGTGCTATGTGGAGTTCTCAGCATGGTTGGCGCCCTATGCTACGCAGAATTAGGTGAGTATCTAGTTGACAATTCAATTTTGTTTCCTAATATAAACTGAACTCTTAACCTTAAACCAGTTGCTCAAAAACCCAAATAAATAGGCCCCCACCAATTCTAGTTCTTATCACATCTGCTAAATATAAAACTATGCAACGCTTTAAACTAAACTAAAATCTAGGTTGATGATGTGGAAAATCAGTTTCGCCAGCCGAGCCCCAAGATTGGAAGTGGGTTCGAACCGTAAGCTGGACCACCAAATAATTTTTGCGTGCTTTTCGCCCTGAATGAAAGCCTGCTGATGCTAGCGATTCTCTTACATTTGCGCTGACTAGGTGTACTACATAGCATAA